GAGATCGTGACCTGGCTGAAGTCGGACGCTTAACCGACTGCGCCACCCAGGCGCCCCAATTTTTTTTAACATTTATTTATTTTTGAGACAGAGAGATACAAAGCATGAACGGGGGAGGGTCAGAGAGAGAGGGAGACACAGAATCTGAAACAGGCTCCAGGCTCTGAGCAGTCAGCACAGAGCCCGACGCGGGGCTCGAACTCACGGACAGTGAGATCGTGACCTGAGCCAAAGTCGGACGCTTAACCGACTGAGCCACCCAGGCGCCCCGAATGAATATATTTTCTATTAGTTTACCCATTCACAAAGAATTTAATTTTTAGGAGCATTATAACCAAACAATGGCCACCTGCATGAGAGTCAAAAGTTAAGTCCTTAGTGGACATATGTGATATCCTGCACATTCAAGCAGCATCCTATTGACCCCAAGTAGCCACACTCATGATTTTTGATAGCTAGCAAAAATGGAAGTCAGTGCTGCAGAGTGTCTAGTAAGATGTTCATATTCATGCTTAGTCAACAGGATTGTAATTAATACCATCCCACCTTTCTGAAAAAGAGTGTAGCAGTAGCTGTCAAAAGCTTTAAAAATATTTATAGTCTTTAACTCAGGAATTCCACTTCTAGGGATCTAGCTGAAAGAAATTATCTAAAATGCCAAAAAACATTTGGGCACAGAATGCTCATTATAGCATCACTTAAAACATCATCCCCTTGTTTTAACTAATGATATAATCTAAAAATATTCATTTATAGGAGAATAGTCATTTATGGGTTATTTATGGGTAATTATACCATAAAATAGTATCTTTTATAATTATTTTTGATATAAAACATTATGAAATGAGAAAATTCTCAAGTTATAATGCAATGTGAAATTTGAATATGGATACTGTATATATATTGTGTATATTTATTGAATTTTATTTATAGTATGGTTTCAACTGTATGCATGGAAAATGGCCAAAAGGTTATCTCTTAATGATGGAATTATGCATGATTTTATTCTTTATACTTTACTTAAGAAAATAAACAATAAAACGTTGTTTTAAAAAGAATCTTCTGGG